AAGATCCTCCTCTGCATCACAATTTAACTTAATTTAATTTAATTTGCATATATTAATTAATTCAATTGCAATAAAATTAAATAGAATTTTTTTAAGAGGTTGCAGAAAATCAAAATGTCCTGACGTTCAGAATATCCATCATAACCGTTGATTTCGTAAGTCTCAATCAAGACCAACTTATTTAATGATTGTGATCGACATCCTGATGCTAAAAGGTCTTGATTTTCATTTTTTTTAATTTGTGTTTTTAAAATATAAATTAAGAATATCTTTTTATCATAAATAAATATAAAAAAATATTAAAATTAACACTAATTCTAGTATTATCAAATAAATGAATTTAATTAAATAATTAATAAATTAAATATTAACTTTTATCTTTTTAATATAAATTTAAAATAAAACGATGTATTTATTGCTATTAAGAAAAACCTAATTAAATAAAACCAACTGCAAATAAGTTGATTTTAATACTTACGCGCTTTGTCCATGGAGCGTAAATGATAAAGATTGTGAGGTACAAGAGCTCAATACCGAGTCCGATACTGTTGATTGTGATTACTAGAAGGCTGTCAGGATGAACAAATGGGAGGCCATAAAAGATCCATACCATGCAACTCTGAAGCGTCGCTACGTAAGGATCAGCCTTGAACTCTTCCACCGATTTTTGTTTAAATATATTGATAAATGTTGGCCTGCAAATTAAATTTCAAAATCAATCGAATACAAATTACCGCCTGTTTTAGTAGTAAAAATTGAAAAAAAAAAACAAATTACATACGATGGGGAGAGAAATAACAAGATGGAGATAACATTTCCTGCATACAGAGATTGAAACAAAAAAGAAAGAAATTAGAATTTTATTTTTGTATCATACATGCATGGAAATGGGTCTGTTGAGCTAGCAAGATACCAATTATTCCTATAATGGTCCTATCTGTCTCTCTGCTAACCATTCCTTCTTTTTAATTTTTCAATGTTTTGTTGGGAGAAAAAAGAGAAAGGAAAACAAGAACAAAAAATCACCAAGGACTGATTTTTTTTTTTTTTTTTCTTTTTTGGCTGCAAGACTGAAAATTGGATAGAATGAATTTGTATTTATAGTTGCAAACAAGGATAGAATGCACGCGATTGCCGGTGTTTCTATAAATACATTTTCTTTTCCCTAAGTAAGTACACTCTATGTAGTATGTTTGCTCCACCTGGAAAAAAATTAACGGTACAGTAGATTTTCCGGTAAGACACCTTAATTCTCGATTTATTTTGGATAATTTTAGTCTTAATTTTCGGTTTCATATGATTTCAATAGAATGACAGGTCTAAGAGTAAAACACTGAGTTGACCCTCATAATTTTCCTTTGTCATAACTTAAGGATATTAACATTTCAATTTTCTTATTTCCTGAAATCGTGGACACTAATATCATAACACAAAACCCACTTGCTTATTTTCCACGGCAAAAGACTAGCAAGGCATATAACTAAACATCCTTAGCAATGCAGAAATATCAAATCGTTAAAATTCATATAGAAAGGATTCAGTCGTAAAATATGCACTCAAGTATAAATTGCAACAAAATCTAGGGAGCAAAAGTAACTTGTGACACATATACATAGCCTAAGAAATAACAATTTGTACCTAGAGACAATTTATATATGTTAAAGAGAGACCACCAAATCTAAAACATTCGTTTGCAAGCATATAAAACAAGAAGTCAAATAACGAGACCTCATTGTGCGGGAATAAAGAGTGCTAATGTTGCTGGGTAAGTTGAGCTCTAGTTCTTCTTAGAACTGTTCTCAAATTCCCTCCTCAGCTGCAGTGAGAAGTCATCATTGACATCATCATCATCCTAATCATCTTCCCACTGCTGTGTTACTTCCTTCCCTTCCTTATCCTCCCATTCTGTCAGAGAAAGATATAAGAAACCAGAAAATGGCAACTAAAATGTTGCTAGACAAGATTATTATGGATAAGAATACCCTTTGGATCATGCAAAGATGAAGTGTTAGCGTCTATATACTTGAAGCATTTTATTAATTAAAGCAGCATCTTTCAGAAGCAATATCATAAAACAGTACCACCATATGCAATTAACACCAAACTTAGGTTGCTTTGGAACAAATTGACAATATGGAAAGCATCTGAGAGTTGGAGACTTGAGATTAGAAAAAAAAAAAAGAAGGAAAGAGTGGTGTGTAAGACAAAATGAACAAATGGTAATTCGACTTGTGGCATGTTGGAACTCACTACAAGAATGTAGTTATAAAAGCATCAACATTTTAAGCGTTAACCATGAAATATTGACACAAATATATGTTATTTGTGTCAATATTTATTCGTGCAAAAAAAGTTTGTCACAGAAAAATTTTTTAATGTCAACTAAAAATCATTAGTGTAAGTATTATTAATGCAAATAGGGTCAAAAATCTGACAAAACCCAATTCATTGTGATCAATGTTTAAAAAAAATTATAAAAACGGTAAAAAGAAACTATATGAATAATATTTTACTAATATGATACTATTTCATTGTACTCTATACTTCAAACATATTTAAGTGGAGTGGTGATCAATAATTCTTTACCATTGCATCAAAACTTGCGTTAATACAAATTATTGGTGTTGCCTTCAAAATCAGATCTGGGTTTTTTTGGCTTGCATTTTTTTGAAGCTTTTGTTTACTTCTCCTTTCTCTTTCACGAAAGCAATGGTAGATCACTGTTTATCTCAAACTTGAACTACATTTATTAAAGTTTAATCTCACAAAGGAGACAAAATGGTAAAAAATTATTTCTTTAAAAGTTTTTCTCAAACTTGAACTACATTTATTAAAGTTTAATCTCACAAAGGAGACAAAATGATAAAAAATTATTTCTTTAAAAGTTTTTTAATTCTTTTTTCAATTTACGTGTTATACATATCATATTTAACTATTTGTCTTTTTTTTTTTCTTTAAAATTATAGATCTAAGTATTTAAACTCTAGAAACCTGAGGACCGTACTTAACTCCCTTCTTGAAAGGATTAACAACATGTCTCATGGCACATGCTTTCGCTTTTTCCAGAAACTCATCATATGCATATTCATGAACAAAAGTACAAGAACCAGCACAGCAGCATTTCCCCTGCAGACATCCAGCATCCATGTCATACATAACTACAGTGAGTTAACATTCCTTAGGATTTCAATGCAGGGGAGATCTCATCAAACCTGATTGAAGAACAAAGCATTGTGTGCTAACTCCACAACTCTGTCAATATCAGCATCTTCACATACTATGAAAGGTGAGTTCTCACCAAGCTTCAGTGTACTGGCTTAAGATTGATTTCTGCAGAAAATTCTAGGACAATCTAACCAGCCTCAGTTGATCCTGCCAAAAACCCTCAAAGTGGGTGACACTCGTCCAAAATTTCATTATAATGTGCTTAAGAAAGAAGATTTCGCAAATGGTCCAAAGCAAGTGACCACGATGTCCAGATCCAAATCGGTTCTCATATACGCCAGACCACCAATGACAGGAGGAAGAAATGGAAAGGTCAAGAAACACCGCAATGATGCAGGAAACCAGTAAAATGCACGTACTTCATTCCAAATACTCCTATATAATAGGAGCTGTGCGCTAGCTATTTTTGAAACTACGTTCTTTGATTTAGTGGCTAAAGCTGTACGTCCAGGAGGAGGAGGAGCAATGCCATTTGCACTCAGGCAAAGAGAAAACCTGCGATTTCAGCCACTGCTCTACATTGAACCACTCATTGTAAGTTTCTGATGCTTCTTCAGAGCCTCCCCTGGACATTTGTTTTCTTCCTAGCTTTTCATCTTTCACTTTCAGAACCTTAGTACTTCATTCTTCAAAACTTGGTGATTGATGTTGAAGCGAACACCTTCATCCTGCTTTTATTTAACAAAAATATCTCAACCGTTTAAATTAACTGAAAAAGATATGATTGAGGATATAGTAAGGAATTATGAATTATGTGACAAAAATATCTCAACAAAAAGAGAAAAAAAAAAAAAGGTCCTAAATAAAGTTAAACCATACATATAACTCTACATGGGGTCAGATGGGAAGATAAGCGACCATATCTGATAGGAATGAAATTCAATCAGCAACAACATGGTGACCAACCAATAAAATACTCGCTTGCCAAGGGTTTAACATTACACCATATACAAGTAAAAACACAACAGAATCTACGAAAAAGAAAAATACTTTAAAAAATATAATGAAAGGTCAAGGCCATCTAGACACCTATAGGATTACAAACAATATGGCTCTAGCACAATGGTTCTGAGATTTACAGAAAATTATTAACACAACTGTTTATTTTCCAGAAAAATAACATCTCAAGGTTACATTAACATTGACAAAGACCACAGTACCAGGCAAGCAGTGCTTCATATTTGAATGCAGCAATAAACAATCTAAAAATTTTAATCTCTCTTTCAGGTAAACTGCATCTCATCACCTATCACCATGCTGCTAATACCATTAGAGAGGGAGGTGCTCTGTGTGCAACTCTTCAGGGTTCATGGACAAAATACAAAAGCAATGAGGAAGAAAAAAGTATGTGGCCATAAATATAACAACTCCAAGATCAGCCTCTTCACCAACTGCTGCCCGACGAGGATTTACCCAGTATATTTGGCTAGCACACCACAAGCAGTAGAGGATTGCTATAATCAAAATAAGTTTCACTGACTGATATGATTGCTTTCTATTAAACTTAGTAGACCTCACTCTGCAACACATGCAAACAGCAAGATAATAAAATAAATTACAAGTCTATCAAAGGAGTAAAAGACTAGATTAATTCCAGAAATACTCTGCCCCATAAGCAAGAAATAAGCACCTGTTGATGTAAATGAAACCAACAATTAACAGAGTGCATAAGAAGCCAACTACAACAACAGCATCTGGGTTGACAGCTGCTCGGTTTATCCACCAACCAGTGCTCAATATCCAAGTATACATGGATGAGTGCCCATTTTCCTGTAGATAGCAAAGTAAGATGTATAAATTTAAAGCATGAGAAAGAACCACCAAAGAATGAATGAAAAGATGGCACCAAAATATCACATGGTAATTTGAGAAAGTTTAAATAACACGATCTAAATTGATTCTGAATCCACCTCAATTCTCAATGTTGAAATCCCCCCTCAAAAATTTTTCCCCCACTAAGAGACAACCCTTTTAGACTTCAGCAGTATCTCTTGAGGTTGAGGGAATGGTCAAGAACTTTGCAATCTTTATTTTACAGAATACAAATATATATATATAGGCTTTCCATGGATGAATAGCTATGCCTACAACTATAATGAAAAGTTAAAAAGCATATAAGAGAATCTCCAAATTTTACCTCAAACAAGTGATCAAGAAAAAAGTGTGACAAAGAACCAGCTGATACTAACAAGATGCATTGCCGCTTTGATAATGGCTCCTGCATGACAGAACCAAAGATTACAACTTTAGTTATGATGCCTCAAGTCAACCAACAGAAAGATCAATTCAGCTCCAAAACAATCATGTAATCCAAATTGAGGCAAGGAAATAGAAATGATGGGGAAGGGGGGCTGGGAATCAAAGAAATTTAAAAAAGAAAAAATTAATGTCTTTCGCTATTCTTAATTTTCAGCTGAATTCAGATACGATACAAACAAACAACCCAAAAACACTAGATGGAAAAGTCTTAATTGAGCTAAAAAAAATTGAACTCACCCCAGAAAGTGAATCCAGAATTCCCCTTCGAAGCAAAACCCTGGATGCCCTGGAATAAAAAAAACAGAGTGGCAACCCCAGAATCAAGACATAGTAAAAAGGATGGTGTATGGCATCGGGTAGGGCAGAGCCGAAAGAGGAGCCAGGAAAGAAGGTGGAGGAGAGCCACTCGGAGAAGGAGCCGATGTCTGGGCCGAAGAAGGCGTTGAGGGTGTAGGTAAGAGTGTGATGCGGGGTAAACCGACCCTTAGTCAGATGAGTCAGCGCCACTCCCGAGCCCATCGCGTACATGAGGTGCGGACCCGGCCCTGGCATTCTATGGCTCTGGACCTGGTGAATTGCCCCGCGCACTCCGCCACCGGAATTGCAAAGTTTCTTCCTTTTTGCTGTTGGTAAGAAACGTTTCCTCCTATGTTTGTCAAATGATATTCAGATCTTCCTTAACTCTTAAATTACTTCAAAGTATATTAATTTGATCTATCGTTGACATTCAGTTGGTAAGAAGATTAATTTTGTAACAGTTAAGCAGTTGAAAATTTTTCCAAAATCCCGGCGGCGGTGGCCCCACTCGCCGCTGGTATTCTTCTCTGTTTTTGGTCTGTTTGGAAACCCCATTAAAGCACATTACCCAATTCTAACCTAATTCAATTCAACTCCATTTTATCCCATTCTCCCACCCATTTCCTTCAGAATTCTTAATTTTTGTTTCTTTCTCAAGTTCATCTCTTTGTGTGTTTTCTTTTAAACTATGATTATAAAATTCTATACCAGCGTCATGTGGATTCAAATAAGAGGAGTTTGATTTTTTAAGTAAAATTTTAAATTTGAATATTGTGAATAGAAAAATAAATGTTGAAAGAGCTTCTCCAATGAGATTTAACGCAACTCGGTTAATAGAATCTAATATAATTATCTGATATCAAGAAGTTAGTGAAAAAAAAAATCCTATAAAATTATAAATTCACAATACCACCTTACATGTAATCAAAATATTTTTTTTTCCCTTCTTTTTCCTTAGAGTTTCCTTCTCTGTTTTCTTTTGTTTCTTCTCTTGTTCCATATTAATGTTTGGTAGCTAAGAAAGTTGCGGACGTGAGTTTCTCATTCATGCCCTTTCTCAACAACCAAATGTTGGTTCTCTCATCTAGATGGTCCTCTCATTTAGGGATGTCAACAGGGTCCCACGGAATCGAGAAGTCCCTCCCTGTCCCCGTCCTTGTGAATGGCAGGGATGGGGATCCCTGAGGGGATTTTTGACGAGAGGCAGATTTTGCCCCCCGTCCTTGTTCCCCGCGGGGAATGGGGATCTCCATCCTTGCTATTCACAGGGACGGGGACGGGGACGGGGACGGGGAGGAACTTCTTGATTTCGTGGGGCCCCGATGACGGGAGGCCATTATAAATTTTTTTATATTTTACATAGAATTAATTAATATCAATTATAATAAATAAAATTCTAAAAATTCAAATACAATTAACTAAAATTTTTAAGTATAAATTGTTCAAATATAAATAAAAATCAATTTAACATAAATAACTAAACCAATAATTAACAAATTTGTTCCAAACATAAACAAAGATTAATCCAAGCTAAACTAAAACATAAATAAAAATTAAACCAACAATGGAGGGGAAGGTGAAAATGAAAATTGAGAAATGAATTAAGGTTAAGGTTAAATGTAAGTAAGGGAATGAATTGAGTTAATTTTTATGGATTGGGTTGGGTTAGGTTGGGTTAGGTAAAATTGAGTTAAGATTAATTTTGATTGAATTGAGTTTGAACTTAAGTTTGGATTTGTGTTTGGGTTTGAATTTGGGTTTGAATTTGGGTTTGAGTCTGAAAGATGAATTAAATTTAAAATAAAATTAATTTATATTTATTTTAATTTTTGCGGGGATGGAGATCCCCACGGGACCTCACGGGGTGAGAAAAATTTTCCGTGAAATTTCACAAGGGAAAAATACTTCCCATCCCCACCTCACGAGAAGGAATATTCCTCCCCGTCCCGTCCCCGTGACAGGAATCCCCATGGAACCCAACGGGAATCGAGGAAAATTACCATCCCTACTCTCATTTTGGACGAGGGTCAATAATCAAATCCAAATCAAAATTAATTTTGATCATTTTAATTTTATCTAAATTCATTCGAATATCCAAACTGTCCGAATTAAAATTAAAAAATCTGAGTTAAAAATTCAGATAGTTTAATAATATCCTAAATGTGTCTACCCTTAATAATATCTAATATCTTTAATAAAAATAAAAAAAATTAAATTCAAATTATATAAAATATAAATAAATTAAAAAAAAAAAAGAAAATTAGCTTCTATGATACAACTCTAGATTTTAAAAACTAAAAATTATTGGATGGAATTTACCGTGTAGTTAATTGTTTTGTGACTTGGTGTCAGGCAATCAGAGGGCTCACATGATGCATTGCTAATTCAAGTATGATAATTAAGTTGTCTGGCCTTGCCTTGTAAAGCATCTCATAGGGTCCACCCCTGCTAGACTCACATGCTGAAGCTTGCCTTTTCTTTATATCAAGACAAAGATAGAGATAAAGATGTGGGTGTGAAATGGCTAGATTAGTTCTCCTCTTTTTCTTACTAGTCATCTTCTTCATCATCAGTTCCTGCTGTGCTGGGCCTTTAAATGGCACAGAGCTTGTGAAAGAGGTCTGCAATCACACATCTGACTACAATTTCTGTGTCCAGACTCTTTCTTCTGATGCAAATGCTGGTGCTTCCGAGGCCCTCGCAAAGGAGCTTGTAAATGCTGCTTTACGGCTTGCGCAAATCAAGGGCAGCAGCAGCCAAGACCTAATAACCCACCATCTGAACAACGCCTCTACATCTGCTGCAGAGAAACAGCTTCTCCAGAGATGTCTAGTTGACAACGGCAAGGTCATTTCAGAGCTGTCGTTGGCTAACAACGACCTCAACTCTGATAGCATCCTGGATATGGTTGAGGAGATGCAGGGTGCTGCTGCTGCCGCTGAGAATTGCCAATACATCATCAAAGACACGCGTTTTACAGCGTTAGAAGACATGAATAGGGTTCTAATGAAACTCTGTGAAATTGGCATTGTCTCAACCAAATATTTCAGCGCAGCTGATTTTTATTGAGATTTTGTGACTCAGTATTGTTCTCTTGTATTACTACTTTCCATGGCTTAATTTTCTTGTTCAACGTTGTCTTGTTATCGTGTCTGTTTGCAAACTCTGTCAAGAAAAAAATTTAGACATTAAAGCAACTCACGGGCTAACATAACAAAGGAGCTTCACTTTTTACTTTTTTATCAACTAAAGACAAGGGTACTCCAA